TGTGACTCCATGGCAACGGAGTGCTGCTGCCACCAGCCAGAACACCAAGGATTACTGGCAAACACCAGTCACTGGGAAGAGGCAAGGAAGGATCCTCCTCTAGAGCAGTTCGAGTTGGGGACACTTCGGTTTGGGAAGCCTCCGGAACTGTGACTGAATCCATTTCTCTTGTTGTAAACCACCCAGTTCTCGGTATTTTGTAACGGCAGCCCTAGCGAACGAATACACTATGCGGTGTCATTGCCAAGATGGGTTGGTAAAAAGACTGTAGCTTCCACGTGAGGTGCACGCTGTCAGATCACTCCCTCTTGGGATACTCAGCTGCCAAGTCCTGAGGACTATCAGGCAGCCTAAGGAGAGGCCCACCTGGGAAAGAACCTAAGTCTCCAGCCAGCAAGGGTCCGCAGTGTGTCAAGAGTTGTGGGAGTGAACTTGGAAGGAGATCCCGGGCCCCCCCCCCCCCCTCCAGTTGAGGCTTCAGAAAAGACTGTGGCCCCAGCCTTCGGTTTGACTACAGTTTCAAGAGAGACTCTAAACTGGAACCACCCAGTCAAGCCACTCCTGAATTTCTCAGATCACAGGGACTATGAGAGAATAAATGCTTGTTGTTTAAGCGATTCACTTTTAGGGTAATTTGTTACACAGTGATATTTGATATACCTGCTAACAAGGAAGGAGGCGTGGTTGCTTGCAAAGAGGAGACAGAGCACGGAATGGCCGCTGAGATCACGAGAAAGGGAGCGGTGGACCCACAATACAGGTCTGATTAGTGGTTGCAAACTGTAGTTCAGAACCACCTGACTTGGGTACCAGTTAAATATTCAGATTCCTGAGCCTTGGGTTCCTGAATCAGGCTTTTCCCTGGGAAAATGGCACTGGCGATCTGCATTTGAAAAAGTGCCCAAGCGATTCTTTTAAAGAGCCATTGAGTTCGAGAATAATTGCCAGCAGAGGCAAAAAGCTAGAATTTAAACTGGGTAACTCACAGCACAGGCTGGCATCACGTAAGCACTACGCTGTGGACATACAAAGAATTGCTAAGTTTCGCCAACAATTCAGCAAATTCTGTGTTAGTGGGGATTACTTTGTATCCCTAAGAAAACATTCTCAGGAGTCCTTATGCTAACCTTCTCTTCCCTTTCTTTGTAAAGAGACTGCCCTATTTCTCCTTCAGTTCACCCTGTGTGGAGAAAGAAGCTCTCCCTATTCCGATTTCGACCTCACTCCAACCTTCTCTGGTCTTGGTGGTCAGGACTCTGCAAAGTCCTGCAAAGTAGGCCAGAAGTGCACAGAAGTGCTTCCTGTTTCTGGGGTTTCTGGGGCCACCCTAATGCACAGGCAGGCCTCACATGAGGGTCATGCTGCAGCTTTTGTGAGAAGGGCCTTGGCAGGAAAATCAGAAAGTGGGATGTTCTGGGCAGAAGAGATCAGTGGATTCTGTAAGCCTCAGTTTCTTCATTTAAAAAATGTTAGGGGCGCCTGGGTGGTGCAGTCGGTTAAGCATCCGACTTCAGCCAGGTCACGATCTCGTGGTCCGTGAGTTCGAGCCCCGCGTCGGGCTCTGGGCTGATGGCTCAGAGCCTGGAGCCTGTTTCCGATTCTGTGTCTCCCTCTCTCTCCGCCCCTCCCCCGTTCATGCTCTGTCTCTCTCTGTCCCAAAAATTAAAAAAAAAAAAAAAAATTAAAAAATGTTATATGCCGGGGCACCTGGATGGCTCAATCAGTTGAGCGTCCAACTTCTGCTCAGGTCATGATCTCACAGTTTGTGGGTTTAAGCCCCACGTCGGGCTCTGTGCCGACAGCTCAGAGCCTGGAGCCTGCTTCGGATTCTGTGTCTCCCTCTCTCTCTGCCCCTCCGCTGTTCGCACTCTCTCTAAGATAAATAATTATAAAAAAATTAAAAATTAAAAAAAATTAAAATGTTATAAGGCTACATGAAGGGTTGTGTGAGGAGTGACTGAGGTGATGTGTGCAGTGTCCCTAGCACAATGCCTGGCACACAACAGCGGCTCAGAAAATGGGAGCTGCCGATATTAAGAGGTGTAGTAAGGAGGCTATGCCTGGTGCTCTGAATGTAAGTTTATCTTGGTGTTACGATCGTTTCTGTCCCAAATCTGCTTCCCCATGACTGTCCCAATCAGGGCTCCAGCCATAACCCGAGTGAGATATGGGTCCTCGGAGGAGGAAAGATGGAACTAGATAAGTGGATTTTATGGAGAACAAAAAGTGAGTTCCTAGACCTAGGGCAGCATTCCTCTAGGTCTCCTGGTTGAGTATTAGAACCACCTGCAGCCCTTACTAACTAACTAGGACTCTAGTCCAGACCAATTACATTAGAATTTCTGCCAGTAGGGACCCAGGCAGTGGAATATTATGAACACTTGTCAGGTGATTTTAGTGATCATCTGGTGTTGAGGTTAAAGCACTCACGTTAAAGTAGAAGGTTCACAGGACTTTTGATTATTATGTACAAAATGAAAACAGCAACAAAAAAATCACAGTGTGGCAACTGAAAGAAGTCAGATAGGGATGTAGGGGTGAATCAGTGGAAAATGGAGCATTTTTTAAAGCCATACATTTCCAAGAGAGATTTAAGAAAAACCTTTCAAAAAATATTTAGGGGCGCCTGGGTGGCGCAGTCGGTTAAGCGTCCGACTTCAGCCAGGTCACGATCTCGCGGTCCGTGAGTTCGAGCCCCGCGTCAGGCTCTGGGCTGATGGCTCAGAGCCTGGAGCCTGCTTCCGATTCTGTGACTCCCTCTCTCTCTGCCCCTGCCCCCTTCATGCTCTGTCTCTCTCTGTCCCAAAAATAAATAAACGTTGAAAAAAAAATATTTAGAATTAGCTAGGAACAAGGAAGCAATACTTTTTCTTTGTGTTGGAAAGTATCTGGTGATCTTTAGGACATTTTCAGAAAAACAGAGTTACTGGTCAGAATGAGCATTTTCCCCAGTCACGTGGTTGGGTCATGTTAAGTGGAAAAACGGCCACAAGTTTGAATATACACTTTTGATCATAAATATATTAAAGAGACATGGAAAGTGCCCATGATTATGTTTTATGAATAAAAAATCTTCATACCAAATGATACCAAATTCTGTATGTGAAGATGACTCATTTTATTTTTTTTTTTAATTTTTTTTTCAACGTTTATTTATTTTTGGGACAGAGAG